AATGATAACCCATAAAATTAATTAATCTCTAGAACAAAACCAGGCTATAGTTAATTAGGGGACATTTTGTTGCAAAACTCTTTCACTCACTTTGAGGACTCTGATGGGAAAAGAAATTTAGGAATTTTAAATTAACTTCTTGGAATAATACAAATCAAACTTTTCTGCCTTTGTATGTTTTCCTATTGATAAATATATTCCCTTCTAATCCTCAGTGAATCCAGATGTTTTTCAGTACTTTAAATTTGGAAAATCCGAGTTTTAGTCTGCATGAACTGATTATTTTTTCTTTTTGCAGTTTCCTCCTTGACTCTATTTAAAGTAACAGTTACTGAAAGCATCAAGAATGAGTGACCCTTTTCAACTTCCATCCATTTCCTTTCTCTAAATTCTCTCCCACACTTTGCAATAGAATGTGACACACAGCTATCTGAAGAAGCACTGAATGAGAGCAGTGTAGATGCAACAGTTTAGTCTGGTTCTAATGAGCCATGCTGAGAGACAGTGTTAAGAGTGACATGACTGCCATGGTGTTTATTAGTCACATCCAGTCCACTGGACCTGTTTCTATGAACAATAATTATATTTTATACTATATAAATATATATTAAAACCTGAAAAAAACCTATATATATTGTCATGGCATTTAGGAATGAAAATTAAATGAAGCACCTGAAGAAGAGGCGGGAGAAGCCAGGTATGTTCAGCCCCATTTAGAGAAAGCAGGCTGGAAATCTAGATTTTCATCTCAACTATCTAACGAATAACTAGAGAGAAGGCAGAGACAGACTTTTCAGGAATGCACATCTAAAGAAAATTGAGCAATAGTCACAAGCTGCAGCACAGGAAATTCTCATATGGGATAAACAAAAATATTCAAGACGGCAATTAAGCATTGGAACAGGTGCCCAGAGATGTGCTGCCATTTCCATCCTCAGATTCAAAACTGAGATGACTTTGGCCCCGTACAGCCTGATATAAATATGAAGTTACTCTTGCTCAAAGGCTCTGGACCACAGGACCTCCAGATGTACATTTCAACCTACCAAATTGCACTTCTTTATAATTTTAAGACATTTGTAATGCTTCTCCATAAAAACCAGTGTGAAAATGGCCAACACAACATTGAAATTTCTCAACTTTTCTTGCATAGATTTACTTACTTCCCTTTTAATATTTTCATAAGGATTATGCAATTTTACAAAATGGAGTTGCCATAAATGTAAGTTTTGGTGAAGTTCTATTTAAATGGGGAAAAATTGGGGTTACATACTTAAAAAGATACAGATCTGTCAACAACTGGGTTAAGAGGTGCCCAATATCAAACCATGTCTTCTGTGTCCAACTGACAATTGTATAGCAGATCCCTAATGTCTTTTTATTTTAGATTTTTTTTTTGTCACACATGTGTTTGCAAACACCTACATATGTACTCACACACACAGTTAAATTAGTAAAAATTTAAAACTTATACACAGTACTGAAAAGATATTAGTATGAAAATTGCAACCAATATTTCTACTGGTGGCCATGAAAGAAGGGAAAAGTAAAAGGTATGTGGATTTTCAATGAAATGAGAATGTTACAATCATTCTCATAGCAAATTTAATTAATTATGAGAAACAGAAGTGACTCTTCAAAATCCTTAGTATGGACCTACCTTGGTTTCCATTTTTAACAATTCAATAAATATATTTGCTGTTTCATTTGTTAAGGTAAAGAATGCAAAAGAAGTTATAATGAACACCACAGAATATTACACGAGGCATCTAATATTGCTTTCTGAGGAACAGAGCAGCACAAAATTTTAAAATTTTATGTACTGTATTGCAAAGAAGAGGAATGAGTATGACAGATGGAAACAATCTACAGGGCAACTAATTTAATTAAAACTGTTCAACTTCAGACACAGATTAATAAAAGGATTCATGGTAAAACTTATACTAGCCTATCAAACTTCGGTGAAGTGGTTTTCTTTCTGAGTAACTTCTTATGATTATGTATTTAAAACACTCTGCGTTTATTCCAGAAGAATACCAATTTCAAGAATACCAAGTGGCATTGTTCAAATTAGAAGGTAAATCATGTTTGGTCACAGGGAAAGAAAAATGTTAGAATCATTCATTGCCCTTGACAAGGAATAAGATGTCTTACAATCTTAAGCAAAGCAAAACCTTTTCTTTCCATAACTCTACATTAACTGGAAAGCTAGCATGTGTTAAATGAATAAATATATCTGCTTATGATACTGTGTAATATTTGAAAGCCTTGGAAATACACCAACAGACGTGGAGTGAAAACCTGAGCTTACAGAAATTTCTTTCTAGTTGGATGTTAGAGTGGAACCAGATTTCACCCTAAAATTTTCATCTTACCATCCAATATTCACTTCTTTCCCCTTAAAAGCCTATATTAAATGCATATTTTCGTTTCTCATTCTTTTTAACCTAAAACACCCATGATTAAAAAGTTTGTTCTGGAATACGTTTTAAAAACCTGTTGAATTAAGGTTCTCCAAAAACCTTTTTGAATTCTTGAATCTAACTTCAGTCTAATTCCTTTGGAGTAAAGTTAGCCTGTACCTTTAAAGTCTAATCTGAAAGATTTAAAAATAGCAAATTATATGGAACTCAATCTGTTTATCTGAAAAGGATGGAAGGGTTTGTACTCCATCTAGATTTGAACTTTTGGTTCCACAGTGTCTAGGTATTTCAAACCAGAGGTGTATTCCAGGTGTATACCATGAGGTGTATAAGACATGACGTTCATGATAATTCCATCTTCCCTATGTTAATATCCATGTTAGAAACATAAATTAATGCCTTGATAAACTAGTCAAACATATTGTTAAATATTTAAAGACAACTAATATGAAAAGTAACTATCAAAATTGCCATTTCACTTGCAAGAAGTGATATGCTTCTTTTTTTTTTTTTAACCATTCCTTACAAATCTCAGAAAAAAGGGAAGTCACTAGCAGGAACATTAGTTCATTACCTAATGACATGATGAAAATCTCTCTTCCATTTATTACCTTTGTCTCATCCCACTTCCAAGGTAATCAGCTCGAGACTACCTTAGCCAACAACTTGTGAAACAAATCCAATGTACCCTATAACACAGGCAGCCCCAGTTAATATTGTTCAAATTATTTACATCTGAAGGGCCGCGCCTGTCTGGATAGCTGGGCCCGACGCTTCTCTGGACTTGCTTTCTGCTACTCACATCTGTTTCAGCTTTAGACTTTCACTGGTATTCTGCCAGCAGCCACAACTTTTTAATGGCTACAATAAACTACAGAGACTCATCAAATCTTTGTTGTACATGTTAAAATTATAACCTCTTCAATTAAAATTCTGATTTAAAAATTAACTAGAGCATTAGCCAAAGAAAAAAATTTGAAAGGGAATCTTTGAAAAAAGATAAGTTCTTATATAAGTGATTGTTTCTTTGTTTAAATGTAAGAGAAATAATCACAGGAATGCTTGTTAGAATCTGTTGCATTATTTCCAAGTGATAAAATACCAACATCTGAAAACATTTCCACAACCTTTTTGGTTTCACATCTTTGCTGTCATTAACTTTGTACATTAATTGTTTTCACTGGCTTTAACACACACCTTTACAAAGAATTATGGAGACAACCTCAAGATAGCAATTTTTCTCAATTTGCTATAAATACCTACAAAGATTTGGTTTAGAAAACAGAAATCAGTGATTACAAGAAAGCTGAAGTTTTTATTTTAAGAGTAAAGGAGTTTATCTTTCCCTGCTTGCTGTTTGTGTCTTTGCAATGTAGAACAAATATGATGTGAATGCCCCAGCCTCAATGCAGCTCCTTTGTCATACATCTTACGACTAAGATGTATGACAGCAGGACTACATGCTGAAAAAGTACAAGATCAAACACAGATCATGTTTCTGCAAAAACTAGCCCAAAAGAGGGCAGGCCAAGGGGCTTACAGGGCCAAGCGATGAGAGGAGATAGAGCACTCACTTATGCCTGGGTCGAACAAACAACAACTGATACTTTCCTACCACTATTAACCTTTGAAATTGTCCTAAGGATGGCAGTGACCTAATCCAGCAATTCATAGCTGTAAGGATAAACTATTTTGTAAAAGTTTTCAGTGCCTTACAAAATATGAAAACAGTTATCTTGTTCAACTCTGATTATTAAAGTACTCTTCTAGTCTGGTGCAAACATGCCAATTTAAATGTAAAAGTTTTTACATGTTTTTATGCAGATTATCTTCCTAAACTCCATCTTCTACACAGAACTCCCTTAGTAAAGTACAAACTTTTCTATAACAAGAAAAAGGCTTAAAATATTCAGTCATCATTTGTTGACTTTATTTTAGAAAATTGCATGTAGCACAAAATAAAAAAGAAACTGCTTGGAATACTTAAGAGAACAACCCTTCCTACTTTATTTCCACTCAGTACCTTGATTGATAGATGAGTTTGGTTTCTGAGCCCCTCTTTATAATAAACATTTTTAAATGTTTATTTTATGTCCCAGGGTGAAAATATTTTGAACTGGAGCTTTCCATTTCCCTTTGCTCTGCCTTGGCAAGCTGTGTTTTATTTCTACATTAATAGTATTCAACTCTTTCTTGTAGCTTTTAAATTGTTGTTATAAAAGTACTGAAGAAAGTATTTATGTTACGGAGCTAACAGATATCTACAGTTAAACACATAGTTCTGGAGAAGCCAGAGAAAAATTCACACATAACTGACGGAATATTCAGAAAGATTTCTTTAGGGGCCTTTCAATTGTAAAAGGGAAAATTACTTTTCAGGATCTCTACTTTCATTTTTATTAAGTCATGAGTTAAATTTTTTTTCTTCCTAATTTATGTGAGTAATTTGTGCCACAGTGTAAAAACTCTAAATGAATCAACACTATAAACCTAATTAGCAATAAGAAAACCTCATAAAGATCACATTTTAAATGGCACTTTGTTGTTAGTAGAACAAATGTGAAAGTTCCCAGTTACCTTCTAGATCTCTCTTCAGTTTCCTTAAGTCTTTTATTAGGTCTTCAAATTTAACTTGGGAGGCCTGGAAAAAATCCTGTGGTTCTGGTAAAGGAAAAATGCTCTTGTCTGTTCCTGCTTCCTAAACAAACAAACAAACAAACAGGCCACTGTGAAAACTGAATGCATTTAGAGTGAAATAAGTAGCTTTTTAAAAAAATTCTCATCTATGAAAAATTCTCATCTATAAAATTACAAAAATCACATATTTTAAATCATTCTTGCTGAAACCACAGCTCATTCAAGGTTAAATACTGACTGTTCTGAGTATTGAAACTTCCTTTTAGATGTTGTAAAGCAAACTGTGCTGAATTTAAACAGTGAGACAACATTAAAGACACAACATTTCAGTTAATTTTATGTCAATAAAGGTTTAGATAAAGGATTAGAAGTTTCTTAGGAAAAGATAACAGGAATACCCATTTTAATCCAAGAAGGGATCTTATGCCAAATGTTTGTGGTTTCACTCTCTCACAATTCATTAAAAACACACACACTTTATAAGCATAAATTGAAAACCCTATTCATATATTTCCTGAAGCAGTTTACATAGATAAAAACACACAGTTGAATGCTTATATGGCTAAATAAATAACAGGGGTTAAAGCTGTATGGAACCTCTAAGTATATACCTTATTTTTAGCACAGTAAGAAAAAATAATCAGAAGTAAAACAAATAAACAAACAAAACCAACAGAAACCCCCCACATACAAAATGAAACAAAATTTAAAAAAAACCCAGCAACCAACCAACAAAAAACTTTTACAAGGTTCAAAGCAGTATCTCCAGTGGAATTTTTGTAAGTATGTATAAATGGTATTAATATGATATTGCTGTGTATGAGCATACCTTACTGAGTTTGAAATATGCATATACCTGCATGGATGTCAGTCTGTAATAAAGGAAAACTCATAGGCTGGAGAGCTAATTGTTTAGTGAATGGGGAAAGAATAATTTTATTATTATAAAGATATAAACATTTTGGTGGAGAAAGTGCAATGGATGATAATTACACTGTGTTTATTTCCTCCCAAGGAAGATACACTATTTTGTTTCACAAAATTCCTGAAGTAAAATTACAGTATAGTAGGAAGTTTGCAGAAATATTTAATTAATGAAATATTTTCGTAAATACATTAATTAAATATTTTAATAAATTAATTAGAAAGCATAAAAATCCTAGTTCCCCCAAAAAACCCCAAACTAACCAAACCACCACCAAGAGAAAACACAAGAAAAAAAAAAAGAGAAACAAACAAACCCCAAAACCTTAAAGAAAGAATACTGATACAGATCCACATATCTGAGGATTACTAAATCATCAATGCAACAACCTTATGTAAGAATTTTAAAAAAGAAGAAAAAATAAGAAAATAAACTAAAATTATTGAAAATCTCTGTTAAAATCATGAAGCAACATTTTCATTTAAAATACGATAATTCAAATTTTTCCACTCAATAAGTTTGGCTACTGCCAATACCAAATATATATATATTTAATATAGGAATGCATATAATATAAATGCATATACAGAGGAGTATCACATACAAGAGAATGTAACTTACAACATCATTTCAACCCCTAACTTCACCCCCATCAGCTGACTCACCTATCTTAAATAGCAACCTGTCCTTGCATTTTTTGTCCTAAGAGAGAAATCATGCTTCTGCCTTCCAGCATCACAACATCAGAAGAAATTTCACAAGGCTACAGCCACCCAGATGTAATAAGGCAGGGCTGGAGGGACCACCTGTCCAGTCTGCAACAGTCACAGCTTACTGCCTGCAGTGGTTCTCTCAACAACCAAGGTAAGATTTTCCCAAGTCTTATCTTGAAACTTATAGCAAGTTTCATGCCTACATGGTACACAACTATTATATGAAAGCGAAAGAAATGGATTTTATTTTACCATCAGAGGTATTATGTTCAGATTTCTATAAAGCTGTTACAAACCCTTTCACCATCTCTTAAAGAAACCCAGTTTTGGAGAGGCTGATGGAGCAAATCCCTTACCTTATCACAATGGCGTAGGTAATATATGACTACATAATCCACAAGATTAATACCATTATCCTAGGAAAAATTAAAAATGTGTGATTAACAGTGATTCACTGTGAAAATGTAGTCTATTTAAAATGAAATTAATTATTATTTTATATTGCTGTGAGAAATAGGATTCACAATACTTTTTAGCCTTAGCATTACTTACCAAAATATTTGATCTTTTACAACATCGACTTCATTGTACCACTACTATATTCAGACTTTACTTTGGTTTTCAATACCAGGCAAAAATACACGCAGAGAAGAATACATGGGAGCAGCTTTTTATATAATAATAGAAGGCATTACAGAATAATAATATAACTCAAATAAAAATATTATTCAATAATACTACTCTTAAACATAGTATTAACTAAATATTACAGTCATCTCAGATACATCAATGTGAACAGAATTTCTTGATTCCTGTAGTCTCAATCATCTATAAGGAAGATCCAAAAAAGGCACATATACTTTACATATTTTATTCTAAATAAGAAATAAGATAGCATTCAACCAAGAAGCATATTTCATGCCCTGTTACCATATAAATATGAATTTTAATTCTCACTTTATGGAATCAGTATTTCCATGTTCCTGCACACAACTGTAAAGAGTATTTTATTTTGTTACATATCATTGGGTCAGCATGGGCCAGATGAACTAAGGAAAAGTTATACATTACATTCAGCAATATAAAAGAACCATGATATAGGGAATTATATCTGGAATGCCTTTGAAGTTTTTTAGATGTGTTTTCATATTTTATATTGACAGGTATCAGAACAAACATTTGTATGTGAACAATGTCTGACTTCCTGTACAGAGCTGCCTTGTCTATACGAGAGTCTGCAGCACATTATATTTTATTAGTATCATACACCAGCAAAATTCTTAACTAAGTAAGTCACTGCTGTCATGCAGGAAAAGTCACCCTGCATGTTTAAGAGTTTTAGGAGCCATTGCTGGCAGGTCAAAAAAATCTCTACAAAAAGTAACTTTCTAAGCTCATATGACAATAAATGACTTTTATGTGAAATGAGAGGTATTTAGCAGTGGCTCTTTACCTTAGCTCATGGAATTCAGCTCAGTTAAGATGTATTTGCTGGCAACTCACAAGAAGGGAGTAATGGGACAAAGGAAGAATACCTTAATGCTCAAGTGTACAAGACCCTGCATTCTTCTCCTTTTCAAATACAGACTACCAATTATCTCCGAGGTTTCATGTCTCCCTGTAGCAACTGGACCCTTTGAGCTCTTATGCATTTTGAAGGCTAATCTAAACTAATAACATATTTATTCTGGCTACCAGGAAACTGTAAATAATCTCAATTTTTTTAGCTTGTTTTGCTAAGGAACAAGTTATATAGTTATATCAGTTACTCCTTTGCAAAATGCATAATTTTGGAGCAAGCTTGCTAAATGCAGCCACACTGGAAAGTCCCAGGGATTATTAAATTATATGAAGTTTATAGGTAGATAAAAGAGTGACACTAAGCCTAGCAGTTCTACCGAGAAAAGTCAGACAAAGCTGAGTTTTACATTTTTCTTCAAGGCAGCTAGCCAGCCAACAAACGCCAGAGTAATGGGAAACTTGGCCTGGTTCTAGTTAAGCTGCTGTTTGTACTGTGTCTTGTCCATGCAGCAGGACTGGGAAAAAAGTGGTTATATGGAACAGCTGAACCATCACAAGTGAAGACAAAAGTAAGAATTAGAATCAGGGAATCATTTCAGTTGGAAGATACCTTTAAGATCATTGAGTCCAACGGAAAATCCAGCACTGTCAAGTCCATCACTAAACGATATTCCTAAGTGCCACCTCCAGGGTCATTGATTCCACCACCTCTCTGGGCAGCCTGTTCCAATGCCTTATAACCCTTTCAGTGAAGAAATTTTTCCTAATATCCAAGCTAAACTTCCCTTGAAAGAACTTGGGGCTGCCTCCTCTCATCCTATTGCTCTTTACTTGGGAGAAGACACCAACCCCCAGCTGGTTACAGCTCCTTTCAGGGAGCTGTAGAGAGCGACAAGGTTTTACCACAGCCTCCCTTACTCTGTGCTAAACTACCCCAGTTTCCTCAGCTGCTTCTTTTAAGACTTGTGCTCCAGACTCTTTACCAATTTTGTTGATCTTTGGACATGCTCCAGCACCTCAACGTCTTTAGGAGACAAAGGACTCAAATCCTTTGGAAAAAACCTTCACTAAAACACTGAACAAGTCATTAAATGTGTTTCCTTTGTTAATGATGATAAAAGTAAAACAAGTAAAACAAAATGCTCCATAGATAAACTGTTTTGCTGACATTGCCTGTCTCACAAATGCATTCCTGTGTACATGAAGCATAATAGGGAACAAAAGCTTAAAATCTACATCTCTTGTAGTCGAGAAAGCACTTCACATAAGAAAAGTAGAAGAGCATTAAGGATTTTTTTTCCTCATACTCCAAGTCTATACCAACATCAGCAGAAAAATATCTCCTATTCTTTACTGCTTCCTATATCCATGTGGTGTCTAGGTATGCTTTGGCAAAGAATGACTTTGAGCAGTGTTTCCATTGCTTAGATTACCTAACATCTCTGGCTCTGCCCTACTGAAATAAGAAGCAAAGTAATCTCAGCAGGGTGTCTAGCCTTTCAGCCTGACTTTGATCCTAGCATGACTAATCAAAAACCAGCTAGTGCTTCTCAATTTTTTACAAAAAAATTTACTGCCATCTATGAGCATTTTCTCATGCATGCCACTCAAACTTCATGTTCTACATCCATTTAACTGACAATTAAAAAAAAGACAAAGTATCTTGTCGGGTGTGACATCTCTTTGATCCCTTATACATAATTTGTTAGTGTATACGCCACAATGAACTGATTACTGGTATTTTGTTTTTAAACCTAATTTTTATTTACACAGAGCAACCTTCATTTAAGAGCATGAAAAAAGAATGAGGACATTTAATGGAGAAGACTTGAGCAGTCTGTGCTCTCTCACTTCTCTCTACCCTACTGTTATTAAGTCCCTGCTAATAAAAGAGACACACAGAAGTTCTCAGATATGGTAATTATCCTAGTAATACTGAACAGGAGAAATTAGATATTAAGGAAAAATACACATGTGCCGGAGAAGGAGGTGAAAAGCTAGGAGAAAAAAAATATAAAACTGTACAAAGCACCTTGCTTTTCAAGAAAGAATAGTAAGAAATAAAATATATGTCTGATGAAGGAACAATTAAAAAATTTGTTTTTTTCAGAAAATTAATTCAGAAAAATTATCTTTAACCAAACATTAGTACTTACTCTGCTTTTGACATCCTTTAGTTTGGGGAGTATTTCCAATCCAAACCCATCAGCTTGACCTCGGGTCCTATTCCCTCCATTCATATAATTTCCAAAAGCCAGAATCAAGCCCAAAATTTCCTTTACACTTTTCATGCTCAGCAAAGCCTGGAAAATGGATACTGGTCTGTAAATTTGGTTGACATAAAAATTCTAATTGCTAATATAAAATATTTTTTTCATTTTATTTTTGCTAAAGTTCTTTTCTGATCCGTTTTTACCTTGGTAGGTAAAGGAAGCTGAAACTGGTGCAATAATCAAAACTTAAGAGAACCATTTTTTAGACTGTATCTCCATAAGATAATATGTTTAATGTAATCCATATGAAGCAAATTATATGGCATCAAATACTATGTCAATGACAAAAAGACTAATGGAAGACTTCTAAACATTCGCAGAAGGCTTCAAAAATCTTACAGACAAGAAGGTGGTTTATCATGAGTTTGCATCATGCACAGTCAAATGGAGATGCGCTATTTTTGCTGTCACCAGGTTAGAATCAGCCTGTCACTCAGTCTGCTTCTCATGGGTCTGAAAATTCACATTCCTGGATCCATACTTAATCCAGATATAAGAGGGCTAAGGACTGACTAATTACATGCCTCAGATCAGAAAACAGTTCTAAAAACACAGTGTAGAACTAGTAAATTATTTTCAGTTTCATATAAAGACCTCTGTCAGTTGACAATCTGAGGCCACAGGCATAACTCTTAACTGTGTAGCCTTATACACTGGATAAATCAGTTTCAGTGTAAACTTCTCATAAGTGAACTGAAGGCAATACAGCTTTCCCTATCTCATACAACACTGATTCTTCATACCTCCTTTGGAAAGGAAAAAAAAGTAACTACTTCTATTGCAAAGAAATCCAAAGGGGTAGAGCATGGCTACTCTGTGAAAGCAAAGCTAGTCAAGAACTAATCTTCAAATTAGAAAAACAAAATTAACCTACTTTTCTGGTTAGGATGTTAGACCTTTCGGCCACTATTTAATATCTCTCCTAATTTTCACCTTATTCTACTTTTCATAATTTATCTCTTATAATTTAAAAATCTTGTCCTTAGTCTTTCATAGTGTGTAAATATTAGGTAGAGCTTTGTCCCATACTAAAAATTATGCTGTATCAGGGTTACCAGAAATTAATAGATGTCAAAGGAAAGTAATAAGATAATGAACATGACAAGCATCAATTGGCATTAACAGAGGTATGCAAATAAAAGGCATTTTTTTTGCAAGGTCCTGTACTAAGCTTGCCTTATACTAATTCCTAGTTTATGGAGATTACCTATTACATTACTTAATATGCAAAGGAATAAAAATCTACCATTTAAATACACATAAAATTCTACATACTCCATGGGGCATCACACACAATTCACTTTCCTACTTCCTTCTTCCTTTTGTTCTTTTAAGCAACTAAAAATTTACTACAGTTTTATTTCCTAAAAAGCCAGTAAGCAAGATCAAGGTTCCTCGCTTATGGTAAAAAAGAAATCTAAATACTCTAAGATATATTTAAGTTTAAATTTAGCTTTCATAAGGACTTACCTTGGAAACACGAGTCACAATATCTACTTTCCGGTGCACTGATGTAATCCCTTCAGAGAAAACTGACTGGAAGATTATACACTGAGCTCGTTCTGCGAAGTTGGGGATTTGAGACAACTCATACAGAAATCTGTGTGGAAAAAACGACTATTAATGAATCTTTATAATTCTTCTCAGTGGGGTACATAATGGATCAAAGCCTGCAGTATCATGAAATATACATGCACTCTTTCCTTTTTGAATCAAATCTGTCAGAATTTATAATTGTTATATTCTTTATGCTAAGAATGCATTAAAAATCCTATTAATGTCAAGAAAAAGGCAAGGCATTAATCATTATCATATCAACCCATTAACTATCATATCTGCACAGTAATAAACAGAAGAATCTCAAACTTTAATCATCCACTGGAAAAAAAACGGAAAATCTACATAACACTACCTACATACCAACTTATGCAGCCTTGTTTCCCTTAAAAATGTGCTCAGAAATACAGAACTCAATATATTCCTACAAATATATTTCATAATATAAAATTTCTGCCAACAGCTTTCTTCTGATTCCTAGCATCAATTTTCTTTTTCTAATTTGCACCACACTTTCAATCATACAGCAGCATGTTCTATGGGAACACACCTAGCTGTGTATTTACTTCTAAAATACTTGCAGAGCATATCTGCCTTCAGTCACTCTTCAGCAAAGTCTTCATCTGCTCTATATCTGTCCTCACAGGTATTTATTCCTCATGACTCAATTGTAGTTTTTCGTCTGTTAACTCTTGGTAAATAAAAATAAATGGAGGCATATTCAACGAGAGTAGTTCAGACCTCATAAAATTAAAGCATCCCAAAGACATGAGTAATTTCTCCCTTTTCATAAATTTAAAATAAAAAAGCTTGGCTAATAACACAAGAAGCTCTAGCATTTATTATAATAACAATATATAATAACAATAATTTACTCTTGGGTTTTGAATTCAAGATTTCAGAGATACACAAACTTTCTTGAAATCCAAAAGCAAACTTGCCTTTTACTCCAATATTACTTTAGCTTCATTCTTCTAATCTCCTGTCTGCAGATATCCTCTGATTCCCCTTAATGCAATGCTGTAAAGATTTCTTCTACCTCACTGAATTATAGGAAATTCAGTATTCAATCTATTACCTTAAATTCTTCGTAACTTAGTTATTTAAGCCAATAGATCTGATTTTTCCAAATTATTTCTTTTTCACAATAAATAAAACCAGTATGTTTAAATCTACTTTATACATTTCTCATGCACCCTAGGCTTTGCTGAGTACATAGTGACTCTTTAAAAAATCAGCAGAATTCACCTGTGGCTGATGTGAAATACTATGTTTTAATTGGAATACCATTTTTTGTTTCTTTTTGTTTCTTTTCCTTTCTTGCCTGATGAAAAAACCTATTGTGAGAGAAGGATCAGGGAGGCCCAGCTTGGCTCTTAGACTTAAGAAGTGGGAAAAAAGAAATGCCAAGCTGGTATTAATAAAAATGCTTCCTATTGGGAATGAATGGTATTGCCAGGAAAAAAAAAAAAAAAAAAAAAAGGGTATTTTGCACTTTGTGTGAGAGAAACAAAAGAAAGAAAAACCAAACTCCTTCATTAAAGTTCTAACATAAATACAATTAAAACGTTTAAATTTAAAAAGTCAAATGACACATATTCTTGCCTTCCTGTGAAAAGAGAACTATTTCCCACATGGCTGACCATTGAATACAATGTCATTGTGCTAAGAGTTAAAAGAGCATCAGTGTAAAAAGAAGACGTCTTCAGATTCTGGAATTCAGAGTATCCAAAGTAAATATCCAGACAGAACACTTATAACTGAAATCTGTCACAAAAAGGAATCTTAGTGACTAAAAATGTAGCAACTAACCAAAAAGTTATGGCACGAAACTATGGCTGTCACAGATAAACCACCAATTCAGATGGACAAAACTTTAGAAGAGAAAGAAACATTCTTATTTCAATTTTACTCTGAGAAAAGTATGATTTTCACCTAAAATAATGACATGGCTGTGACACAGCTTTTGGATGGGTTTCTCATTACTACAATTCTGATGGCCTAAAATAAACATAGAAAATATGTTGTACATTTCCATGAGGTATATCATACCCCTCTCTTTCAGAAACTGTAAAAAAATGCATTTACTTGAAAACTCCCTTAGCCTACCAGAATCTTGTAGTTAAGAGCTTGAGAGAACTTTCAAGCCAGGCATATAGTTATGATGTTAATGTAAGAGAGCATTCTTGCAGAAGACGGACAAGGAAGGCTGATTTTAAGGAGGCAAACTAATTTTCAGATCACATTTATCTGCATTTGAAAAATATAAAATTTAGAAGCAATTTTTTGGGAAAAAGGTGTATCTAATCCTGCAAGCTTCTAAGTATGACAGCAGGATTTAAACTGAAGTCCAAGCAGAGCTGTCTTCAAAGAGAAGCAAGTGGCATTACTGGGACAGGGATTATAAACCACTTCCTGAATCAAACTACATTCAAACCAGTACCATATTTTGTTACTATTTCCTTTATTAGTACTTATTTCACAGTGGAGAAGCCTACACAGACAATATACTACAACTAAATGTGTCTCTTGGAAACTAGCTATAGCATCTGTATCCTGCTAGCAAAGCCCCAAACTGTGGCAAATTTTGCATATAAATCTTTATCATGGCAATTAATATTAGCATTTTAACAGCTATTATCATGAAGCACAATTTAGAGGGGTATTGTTATGTTGCTGTCATACTTACAGTTTGTGTCAAATTTAACATATATGCAAGACAAATAAAAATCATGTGTGCAGAAGAACATCAGTGATACCAGTAAAGCTTTTTATTTATCTGGTAATCCAAACATGTAAGGGTTTCCTTCAGACTTCAGTGAACTCAATTCAAAGGTTTCACTATAAGAATGACTACTGTTATTATGCGCAACCATTTGATAAATTATTTCATTTACACTTTTGTTCTAATCCTCATTAAAGACAATACATGAGGCTTATGCCCCACAGCAAATATTTTTAATCACACATACAAATTTAGCACTTTTCTGTCCTTAACCTTTTATGGCGCTAATAAGTAAAGCACAGCTTCAACATATCTCCAGTTCTGCAGTTAGGCTGACTTAGAGGCTGACTGAGACAACAAAGCCAGGGGCACATGATCTACTGAGTTTTCAGAAAGCACATTATATTGAAGGTCCAACAAAATTTACAGAAGTGCATAAAGCAAATTGTTTGCCCCTTAAGCTACCTTTTAAAAAGTTAGTTTTCTTAAAGCTATGTAGTTTAATTATAGGGTAAAAATATGATACTTAAGACTTGCAGAGAGAGCACGGAGTGATAATTGATAAAAAAAAGCTTTTGTCTTTGATACTACTATTTCACTCTGAACCACCAGGCATATCTGCTTCTTACAGCTCTTAATTATGGAATAATGATAGTATAAATCCAACTTTGTATTTAATTAAGCTTAACCTCTCTCCACTATAAGTTACAAAAAAGACAACCTCCTATAATCCTAGAACTCTACAAGATTTGTATTGTCCATAAGACAAAATGCATTAATATTTATTTAACTTGGACATACAGCAAAAGACTGCCAAAGATTCAAGCTCTGGAAAACATCAGCTCTGGAAAACACAATGCATCCTTATGCCCCAAGCCAAGGCAATGAAATTCATGGACATGGGATGCAAAAGTAAGCTAGTATATAAACTTTACAGATATTTGTCTTAAGACTTACTAAAGAACAACAGCCTCTCTTCATCAAGAGCAAGATAATAGCCTTATCTCCTAATACTAGCATACTCCTTAGCGTGCAGTCACAAATGAGTATCTAGCTGCCTAATGTAAGTAGAAGAAAAACAATAATCTTTTCTTCAGCACTAACATTTTAATGTGAAAAAAGGTATGAAAATACAGTCATTCTGACATTAACAAATCATATACCATCTCTATTTCAATTCTTCCTCCCCCTACCCTTTCTTTCTTTCTACCAGAGACAGCAGAAAAGACAAGAACAGAGAAGATGGAAAAGGAAACAAAATGACAGAGAGGCCTCTGGGAAGAAAGAATCCTCAAGAATTTATGAACAGAACGATAATCCTGAGTTTTATATTTGTGTAGACATTTGATTTCTGATGTTGGCTTACCAGTGTTTTTTGTCTTCTGCTACTTCACTGTTTCTTTTGTATTCTTATCCTCTTCAATTCTTTCTCATCGGTCTAAGGTGTATTACAACACAAGGGGCAACACTTAAGTTTTTCATCCTAACAGTTGTCACTGGCCACAACAGTGGCAGGAGAAGAAATGTGGCATCAATCTTTTAGGTCTTCAGTGAACTTGACCAGAGTGTACAAGGTGTCTTTGGCCATGGGATCAACTCAATCCCTCTGTTCATGCAGCTTTTTTTAAATAATTAACAACCAAAATCAGTCTGTCCCTGCTTTATGTAATGTTAATTTAGTAATAAATGCTCAAAGGGAAGGATAAGCCTTTTACAAATCTGAGAACAGGAACAAAAATCCTTATTGATTCAAGGCTACACTTTTTATCAGCTGTGGTGGTCAAAGTTGATGTGACTTTGTCATGACTCTGTCATGTCTGAAAAAAGCTTTGTGATAAGGGCAAATTTTTTATCATGTCTTGAAATACACAAAGTCTATAATTTTAGAAAAGCTCATAATTACCAAGAATTATGTATCAAAACTTCTTTCAACATATAATCAAATGACTACATTATATAACGACAAACTATTAAAAAAAAAATCTTACTGTTCTGGTTTATCCAGAAGCTTCAGTTCCTCCTCTTTTGAAGTCTGATAATATTGCTTGATTTTCTCCAGTTCATCCTTTTGTGCTCTCTGAGTGAATTAATATAAAATAATTAGTTACTAATTAATAAGAAATTAATAAATTACTACTTTACCTGTTTGCCTGAAAGCAGCAATTATGATTTTTTCACTGAGAAACAAACTATGCAAAAGAGTAATGCTTAAAGATCTATGATAAATTCCTTCAGTGCCTAATATGCCATTGACTACATAGGACCATCTCCAAGAGCCACACCATGTGGCCAAGAATATTTTCCAAATACTTCTTGAACTCTGTCAGGCTGATTCTGTGACCACTTCTCTGGGGAGCCTGTTCCAGTGCCCAAACACCCTCGGGGTGAAGAACCTTTTTGTAATACCTAACCTAAATGTCCCCTGACATGACTTCAGGCCATTCCCTCAGGTTCTATGACTGCCACCATAAAGAGAAGATCTTCCCTTTTTCCTTTTGTGAAGAAGCTGCAGGCAGCCATGAGGTCTTCCCTCAGTCTCCTCCAGGTTGACAGGCCAAGTGATCTCATCTGTTCCTTGTATGTCCTCCCCTCAAGGTCTTTCACCATCTTCACACCCCTCCTTTGGATTCTCTCTAACACTTCATATCTTTGTTATACTGTGGCACACAAAACTGCCCCCGGCACAGCTCAGAGCAGAGCAGGACAATCCCTTCCCTTGCCCAGCTGTGATGCTGTGCCTGATGAACCCCAGGACACAGGTGGCCTTCCTGGCTGCCAGGGCACTGCTGACTCACGTTCAGCTTGCCATAACCAGGACCACCAGAGCTTCTCTCCAATGTTTAACTCCCCAGAGTTGCCCCTTCCCAGGTGCAGAATCTGTCACTTGCTTTTTTTAAACTTCATGCAGTTAGTGATAGCACAACCCTCTGATTTGTCAAGGCCTCTCTGCCTTCAAGGGAGTAAATGGTTCCTCCCAATTTAGGATCATCATCAAACTTACCTAATACATATTCCAGTCCTGTGTCCAAGTTGTTAAAGAAGACGATGAAGAGCACAGGGTTTAGGATAGAGCCCTGCAGAATGCCACTAGTGACAGGCCACCAGTCTGATGGCACCCCATTCACCATAACCATTTACACCTGACCGTGAACTAGTTGCTCACCCATTACATGATGTGTTTATCCAGCTTTGTGCTGGACATTTTATTCAAGAGGATACTGTGGGAGATAGCAGCAACACGTTTACTGAAATCCAAAAAGATTATATCAGCTGGCTTCCTTTGGTCATAGAATCACCAAATATGTTGAGTTGAAAGGGACCCATCAGGATTGTTGAGTACAACTCCTGGCCCTGCACAGGACACGCCAAGAATCACACCATGTGCCCGGGACCATTTTTTAAACACTTCCAGTTGACTGGGACGTCTCCAGATTCCCAAGAGCATTCAAAAATCATCAAGAAAAGGCCTCATAATGACATCACCTAGCTCCTTGAATGTTCTTGGATGAATTCCATCAGGCCCCATAGACAAACAGGGGTCCAGCTGGAGCAGCACATCCCACACAAGTTCAGAGTTCACAGTCATGGTCATCCAGCTCAGGGCACAGGGAGCCTTTCAGCACATCATCAGTGTTGAAGACAGAGGCAAAGAAAGCATTAGACATCTCTTTGTCTGTGTCCCTGTTTGTGAAGTGGCCATCCTCATCCTGTAATCAGCTGATGTTATTTTTATACTGCCTTTTGCCATTAACATATTTTAAAAACTTCTTTTTATTGTCCCCCCCGCCCCCAGTTCTGTTCAGCTTCAACTCCAACTGAGCTTTGGCTGCACAAATTTTCTCTCCAGAGTGGCAAGCAGCAACCCTGTATTCCTCCCACATCAGTTGACTTTGCTTTCACTGGACATACATATTCATATTTTGCCTTGGCTCCAAAAGAAGACTCCAAAGAATATCAGACAAGCCAACCTTCTGCTTCATCTGCTTGAATACTTACATTTAGGAATTTCCTGCTGCTGTGCCCTTCATAAGGTGGTATTTGAAAAAATAATCTGCACAGATGGACCCCAGAGCCTTCATAAGCATTTTCTCAGGGGACCTTACTCACTAGTTCTCTGGGCAGGCTGAAGTCTGTATCCGAAATACTTTGGTGATTAACCACATTTTTACCCCACCTTTACTTACGTTTTCATATAGGGCCTCCAGTGTCTCCAGATCTACTACAGAGTCATCAACACACAATATAGCTGTATAGAATACAAACACAAATTAGACACTGAAAAACATAAATTAAGACTTCAGTTCTTTTCCTGTGAAATGTACCAAAGGGTTCTAACCTAGATACAGGACATATATGTTTCCAGTTAATATTTTTTTTCAGCATTTTTTCTTGTTCTGATGTCAAATCACAGCACACCTACAAGAACATTCTATAAACTCTGTCTCAGGAGAATAGAGCTCTACTTTTTCTGTCCAATATAATCAGCAGTCAAAGATGTGACCAGTCAAGTAGCCAGTTGGTTGTGTAGCTGTAGGAGAACATGTGAACAACTGACACCAGACAACAAACAGCACAGATTTCATGCTATCTTAGAAGTCTGGATAGGAAGGAATTGAGAGTGAGAGTATTTAGGGTTCCCTGTGTGCATGGGAAATCAGTGAGATATGTTTGTCTAGGAGCTAGCAATCTTGGTAAGTAGACAAGCAGACGAACTGTAAAAGTTTGCAAGCTATAAATTTGCAGAAAAGATGGTGCTACAGTTTTTAAGTTATGTTCTACAAGTTCACATTTAAGTTAGCTTTATCCAGTAGAAAACTATCCACATGACAATTTACAGATAAATCTTTTTCAACACCACACAGACACACAAGCAGTATACTCTTCAGTGATTAATTATGCTTCATTACTAAAAATGAGAATTCTAAAATGTTTCCTATCTTAGTTCCAAATATTACTGTGTTTGGAATATGTGACATAGGTGCTTCCAACATTTGCAAATCCCATTAGAATTTAGGCAATTGGTATTGGTATTGGAAACTCTTGCTACTGGAAAATTCGGAAACATGCTTCTTCAGGTATTGGAACTCTTGTGAAAACTAAATGGGATTGCTTCATGGTGCTTTCGAACACACTCTAATGTTAAATTCCAGTAAGCTGAGAGATGCACAGTGGAATGGAAGCAACTCTGGATGTTTAAATTTTCTGAAACCAGCTTTTCCTCAAGATTCATAAGAGGACTAGGCACAATTTTTGAACTCATGCTTATATATTACCGAGAACATTAATCCCAAAAGAATCAAGGGCATAACCAGTGAGATGTTATCAGCTACTATGTGATAACTTTTAATTCAAATGTATTATATTTCCTCAAATGATCCTTCACTGCTTATGAACTTAGAGGATTTTAAAAGCTCTTGCTGCATTTATAATCCATGTTTGAAAGGGGCAAGGCACACATCTTTAAATCATTATTTAAAAGTAATAAGCTTTCGCCTGCTCTACCACCTACCCCATGATTTTACATTGTGAAATTAACCAGCAGGCTAGTAAATTTTCTCTGTGGCAGGCTAATTAATTTTATTAAAAGGTCCAGTGACATTTAGAACGCTTTAAAATTCTGCCTGTCAATTATTATTCCATCTGTTGACATTACACCTAGGTTAGAAGTAAAGAATTGCACAAAAGACAGTATCAATGAAAAAAGCAGTATTTCCAACAATTTCTGTCTTACTGGAAAGATTCAAAACCCTCAAAACTGTAAGCAAATGTAAAGCCTGAACCACTGAGATTGACAAAAATCTTTGTTTAAAGAAAACTCCTCAGGGTTTGAATTTATGAGATTCTCTCTTATGTCCTGCAAGACAGTTCCAAGAGCTGCACTATCTTCTGTATCATTGAATAAAATTTCAAAAGAAACTAAGAGATGGAAAATCTCCTGGAAAACTGGTTTCACAGCCCAATATATTTAATTGTTAAGATTAACTATATGCATATCGAGTTCAGAAACTTCCCCTTGTGGTTTAACTTTTATCCTATTTTAGCATATTCTGAAATCTGCTTACAAGGAGAAATTTACTTGTCCAGAGCTCTCTAGAAAAAAAACAACATATTGGAAGCAATTTAAACTTGTACTAGGAATGCAAAGCATGTAACTGATAGTTAAATTTTTATGTACAGATCTATTATGACAGGAAGTAGTTTGATAAAAAGCCACTGTAAGAATATCAAGTGTTACACACCTAGCTGAATATTTCAGCCAGATATTTGTCACCAAAATTGCTCAGGAATCACGAAGTGGTTTTTAATGCTCTGTTATGTTACCCATGTTTCTGTACTCAACATCAGATCTAACAAATCAGCACTGTTTGAAAGTGACAAGATAAAACAAAAAGTGTTTGTGATAACTCTAATGAAATACAATCTGCTAAACCACATTTTTAATAGAATTAATAGTAATCAAGAGATATTGATATGAGTTATTTTCTCTCTTGGAGAGAGCATGTGACTGTATAAAAGTACTCAGAAAATATTTTCAGATTTACTTGCTATACAACCGGTACTGTTATTATTAGCAATGAACGCATAGCCAGACAACTGCAGTTAAAAATCAAGCCATAGAGCTGGACATCTTAGGATGTCAATGTATGTAGAGACACATTCCCAGTAAGTCAGAAGTACTGCCAAAATCCACATAACCTCCTTTATTTCATCTTTATACATTTTAATCTCTTAGCCCCTTTTTTTCCCATTCAAATGGATTGAACTGAATGCCATGCACATTTGGAGCAGAAGACAAAAATGAAAACATGGATGTTTACGAAGATTGGCCCATTTTTTTGAAAAAAAGTATTAATTTTGAAAAGCTGGAAGAAATCTCCAAATTCACAGGTGTCTTCATATTCTTCTTATTCTTAAAATATGGCATGTGCAAATACATTCACAGTATTTTGTGTAAATCAGCTTGAATTGGGGCAGATTAAAAGACCCTCATTGCACTAGATCAAAGAAAGTAATTATTTTCATTTTCACTTAAAAGTAACAAAAGCTTTTTAACTTTTCTATGAAAAACAAACCCCACTTTTAATCATATGTATATTAACTTCATCAAAGTAATACAAACCTTGGTATGTTTTTCAAAATGCTCTTCTTGATACAGTGAATTTAACCATGATATTTTACTGCACTAAATCTCATGATATCCAGCTTACATAAGTGTAAGTAATATAGGTGAAATATCATAAATCCACAAAAGAGGCTCCAAAACAATTAATAGCTATTACAATATCAATCATCATTGGTGGTTTTTACTTTCATCTTGCTTTCTAGTTAGCTGTCTTCCTTACACTGTCAGTTCAGTTAGAATATTTCACCTACACCTCACAATATGTCAAAAGGAAGTAGACTCATGCTGTGAAAAGCTGGTAATTTTATTGGGTTCCTCTACCTTTAAAAAATCTGTTACTTGGCCAAGTCTGGTTTCTGAGATCCTTTTTTGCAGGGAAATTGAGGCAAACATTTTTATGTTGCCTATGGTGTCTGCTCACAAGAAGAAGAATTTATATACACAAGGATCATTAGTGCAGGGTTGCACCCATTAGGATATAATAACCGTCAGCTAGGACAAAGAACAGATCAGCATCATGCATTCAAACTAACAGGCACACATAAAAATACTTGCCAGCTACATTTCACATACTAAGAGCATTGCTTCAAATATAAACTTATACCAAAGGTTTTTAACATACTAACTTCTAAAAAATGAATCTAACAGACTCCCTGCTGCACAGATTTTTCACATATTCTGATCAATTAAAAAATGTAAAGCAAAAAAAGTGAAGAATTTGAAGCATACTGTGTGCAGTGTATATAGAACCTTAGAACTTAGAGTTTAATGTGAAAAATATACTTATCTCCTCTAAATAAACTTAAATACCAACAGTCTTAAGGCTGAATGTGATATACAGCCTCACTTCTACTAAAAACATTTTGGCTAAATGAGGATTTAAGTTCTGGTGACAGAGCTTGCATATACTCACCAGTATCAAACCATTTAACGAGACAATTAGACTATGAAATATGAAGAAATCACCTTAACTGCTCCCAAATAATAAAACAAAATTATTTACATTATTTAAATAAAAGGAGCTTGCCAAAGCTCTATTTATTTGACCTGGAAGTACTTAGTTGTTTTAGATACTGCATTCTGTTGAGTAAGGCTTGATTTTATGGGAACATGCAGTCCATCACTGGGAAATTTAAATAAAATTGTGACTGACCTAATCAATTAGACAATGACTGTTAAATACTTGGCAAAACTGCCTGTAATATCCAAACCCTGGTTTTACTTCTGATAAATTGATATATTACCAACTTACTCGAAGGTTTTCTCCAGTATTAATTGCTATGCAACACAAAAAACATATATGTAATAAAGAAGCACCATGGGCAGGCACAATGGAGGTTTAGAAGACTAAGAAAGCTCAAATCCTGCAAGAAGTGATTAACAGAAGATTCTGGCACTAATGTTAACCTACCTACATGCAATGGATATCCAAAACAGATCAATAAAAATATATGTTGTGAATTTTCCCAAAAAAAGGGAAAAACATTTAATTTTACATAAAATAATTTACCAACTTCTGAGATGGGTATGCAGCTATCTTTATACTTCATGCATAGTATACAGAATATATAGAATACATACATGTAATATTTTGGGTAGGTGGGAAAGTCACAAAACTTTGAAAGAACAGTTTAGATGTGCTACAAGGCATAACTTGCACTAAGACAATGCAAACCTACTTACAAACCTTCTGCGGGCTCTTATTAGAGCCATCCCAGGATGATTAGAAATATAATACTGAATCAGAATGGTTATTAGACTGATCATCAGTCTGGTGGGGTTAATCTACAGTTCACATTCTTCCAATTTTTTACTCCCATATGCTAAAATGGAGGGGAAATCACAAAGTTGAAGGAAATGAGTCAGATGTTTCACTTTTAGCATTAGAAATAATCTTTATGCTAAGGATAAATGTTAAGTTCTCCCTTTTTCATACAGGCTATATTGTCAGCATTGTAGTGCTACGGCACAGCTACCACGGTTTTGGTAAATGTAGCAGCGAAGTCTGCAGCTGTTCTGTGGGGAACATACTGCACTTTACTACCACAAAGGGTACAAAAAACTATTAACTGTGCATCGGATGTGATCTACCACATCTCAAAGATTTAGTCCCATGGAAAATATGCCAGCATGTATACCAGCAGACCATCTAGTTAATGTGCTCTGACAGCAATCAGCAATATTTGACAGTGAAATATTTCCCCAGTGTAAAGAAGCAGAACTTCTGGTGCTCTACAATTTTAGTGGCAAAACGCAGGTACTATGAATGTAGGGAGGGATTTGGGATAATCACTCTTTTGAATATAAGACATCTACACTTTATCTACATCCCATTTTCTGTAACTAAAAGTTTTTCATCTGGGCTGCCCCACGATTTTTTTTTTTTCCGCCAGTTAACTCTTGAACAAGGATCTCAATAGCTCATGGAAAGCCAGTACAGATGACATACACTGCAGAAAGGAGTATTAATGTGTGTTTTCCAGTGCACTGTTATTGCCAGCTACTATTTTGGAACTGTCTCAGTGAGAGGAAAAAGCTAGGACAAGGACCCATACAGTATTTTCACATACAGCTATAATCAGCATTTCCCACTACAAACAAAACTGAAACACCTTGCTGTAGAGTGAGTTGTAGTATTTCAACAGCAAAGCAGCCAACAGTGTTGCTTCACAAGTTTGTCTCTCAAGTTGTAGTATTTCAGCTCAACAATGTAATGAAAAGACAGAAATGGACTGATATTAAATGGACATTACTTCTCTAATTGTGGATGCTTGAAGAGTACCTAACAAGTAATCTCTGCTACTCTTCATCTCTTTTTAAAAAGGTTTTTAAAAAATGCAGAGAACAGCCTTAAAATAATCTCAAAGCTGTATTACTGGTATTTGTCTTTTCAATATACAGATCCTACACAGCATACTGAGTTAGACAGATTTTCTGCCTGCTTCTGCTCAGGAAATGAGTAATATTAATAGTGGCCTAACAAAAAACTTTATTGCTGTCACCAGTACCAGATTCACCAGTGCACTCACAACACCGAAGTACCCGGATTTGTTCTCTCCCACTGAACAAAAAGCTGAGTATTAGGACAGGTGCAGCATGACAATGTTAACTTTCCCTGTGCATCATAGAACACCACCAGTACCCAAAATAATTAGTTTTACGCTGTCTTCTTAGACTGTACTCAGAAGCAGTATGGATATAAACTTATCTGCAAAGGATGAACTTCATTCTCTTAAAGAAACACGTGTGGAAGATCCCCCTCCTGAAGTGTGGTGGCTGGCACATTATCAAATGCAAACTCAAACATCTGGATGCCAGATATGGTCACTTGCTTGTTTTGCACTGCTGAGTTATCTACAGAATATGCTGCGAAACTATGTACTTAAATTTGAGAGGATAATCCTATGGATGCAGAAATCTCACACTATTTTAAAGGAAGATGCAATTTTTCTTGTGGTTACTCTTTTGTCTTCTCTACAATTTTGCATGAATCTGTATGCACAGGGCAGTTAATCTGAGAATTTCTCTACCTGTATTTTATAACTGCTACCTAAGGTAGACTAACCAGTACATCACACATAGACTGTACATTTATTTCTACATGAATTTACAACAACAAACATGGTCATTAAAGCTTGAAATAAAAATTAGATTTTTTTTCATTTCTGATTTTCTTTTGCTTCAGATTTCTACATTCTCTGTTGTAAGTGGTTGAAAGCTATTAACTTTTCACTGTTTTTCACGTACTGAATTATGCCATAGAAATTAGGTGTGAAAAAAGAGATGAGCGCTTAATCTGTATGTTTTTAGAGGTAGCTCTTTGCAACTCTGCTTAAAAAAAAAAAAAAAAAAAAAAAAAAGAAGTTGACATTCATGACCCAATGATTACATGCTTTTTTTGTTTAGGTGTTGTCATGCACCATTTAGCCTATTATGATTTTTTTTTTCATCCAGTGCATTGACTACAGCAGCCTTCAAATAATTTGTCTGCTGAGAGGCAGGACTGCCCACAGATTTAAATTACACAAAATATTATGGAATAAATTACATTAAAAGAGAAACAAGCATAATTCTAATGTTGTTTTCAGAGTAATATACATTTCTGAAGGTCCTCTCTACAGAACAATGTTTTCCCTGAGTTTTGTGAACCGGTTTTTCACCCTAGATAGTCTCTGAACATGGATTTTGCTTAGAATCAGTCAGATTGCCTTGTTAGTGTATTTTTTTTAAAAGTTCCACTAATGGTATTCCCAAATCCTGATGGTAGCTCCTAGCTGTTTCCATAAGCAAGAGGCAGCATATCCTATTGCTGCCTTGAGCACCACATGTGGTGACAGGCCAGTCATTTGCTACCTCAGACAAGAAAGGGCGACGAGTTCTAAACTTTTCTTCAGTGACAGCACTTGTTTTGGAGTCTTTCTTCTACCAACACTCTAACTTTCATTAAACTTGTAGGACTACATTAGCTATGTCTACAACTGCAAGTAGTGTAGTCTTTAGAAATGCATTTGTAGACAGCAACAGTCTACACTATACATGTTTCAGGGACTTTTAACTAACTCTCATCTGATCCTGGGGAATTTAGAGACTGCTATACATGGAGATTCATGGCATTCTCCTAAAGCAAATCTTCTCATTTAATTTGATTCTGAAGCATGTTTGTGCGCTCTGAGATTGCTCTGCAATGCAAACACAGCCAAGGGGACAACTGGTACATGTGATTCAAAAGTGCACTGCTGATTCAAGTTAAAAATGCTATTGTATATATACCGGAATATTTGCGTCATTATGTTCTCTTAGATTTGGTATAAATTGGCCAGAAGATTTCAAAAGCTACACAAGTACAAGAACAACTGAGAGAGATAGAGATGCTCTATTTTAGTAGAACGTCATGGCATGGAAAATAAAAAGAAAACCAATCTCTGGAGATCCTTAAGAATATTACCCAGTTTTTGTAATAAAGTTTCTATCCTATCCCTATGCTGCTGACAATTCTGCCAGCAAATTATTTAGACCTTTAGTAATAGTGGTTTTTTTCCATCTCATTCTGATACCTTTCACACAATACTGGCAGAGACAAAGTTATTCCTTCTTTTCCTTATTCCTCTGCATCCCAAGAGACATCTGTAAGCCCTTGTGCTTTTAAAGTGCTAGATGCTCAAAGGCTCTTTTGAAATTAATAATAATCAATGCCAGCAGCATCTCAACACCCTACCCAGTATTTGCATGTGATGGAGGGAAAACAATAGCAAAAAAGGAGACATCAACTTGAGTTGTTCCAGCAGTTGTTTTAAATGGTGAATATTTTCCTTTTCTTAATGTGAAAAAGAAATAAACAATATCCTTAAACAATATCTTTTTAAATCCAGAACATAAGCAGACTCTCAATCACCCCAGTGTTCTCAAAAATCTGTATTCCTCTACAGTTGTATTGGCAAACTCAAATAATTTCTACCAGTAATGGAATTTACAACTGACTAGCCCCATGGTTTGAAAAATGCCATCCAGTAATTCTCTTTCTGATTCTTACATGGTAACATCAGTTTGGGATGTACTTCTTATACTGTTAATGAAGGAAAATGTAAATATTAAAAAATACTGACTGCATGTTTCAAGTCTGAAAGATTTATGCACAAGCCCTTCATGTAATTCCTGCTGGTGGACATTTTGCTTTAGAAAAAGCAGGGAACTGCAGGGGAGGAATATGGAAACAGTGTACTAAAAAGTGTTATGCTAACTGTAAAGGTACAGAAAGAGTTGTACCTAAATTCAATTCTAGTTTTTAGGTGAAACTTTTACATAAACTGGAATATATTGGAAGAATGATTCTTCTGGTAGTTTAGGACACTATTCAAAACACATTCTGCACTGTCAGAAATTATCTGAGGGCTATGATAAAGTATCCATGCAAGTACAATACATTAAGTATAAGAAACACTTACCTTGTTGAATATCCTTCATCTCCAAGTGCAAACTCGATATTAAAATTCCTACAGTTTGAGACCGCTTTCCATCCAGCAATTTGATAATCTAGAAAGGCGATGCAAAATTATCTGAGATCAAGGGAACACTCTACAAAGGATTCAGTCACTTTTATAACAGAAGCTAACTTGTGAATTGAATTCCATGTTTCTCCAAACATCAAACCCTTTTATTAACTAAATGTGACCTTCATCTTATTTTTGTACTCTGCACCTTAACAAATTAATTATAAGACTGAATTCTCACCTCTTACTTGTAGGATGCTGTTATGCAGGAAAAGAAAAAGGCACATCAAATATTTATTCTGGAATATGGTTTTTCCCCCCTTTTTCTTTAAATGACATTTAAGAACTATTAAAGACACTGAGTACATCACCAGTTCCTTAGTTTGTCTGGTAGTTTACATTTCAGTGTGAACAGGCTCATGTCTATTTTTTCAGCAAAGAATCAATTCCTAACCAAGAAGAACTGAAGAATTGTCTTTTTATGCCCTCTCAACACTACTTCTGGAACTAGGCACTACTCAAAGTATTTCTTTTGCTCATGTCTGAATGTGCTTATTCCACACTGTTGACACTCCACAGGGATTTCAGGATTTTTTTCACATTTGGGTACAGATATTTGATAGTATAAGATACTGACTTTCAGTCTGTAATACTTTCTGATGTCAGTTTAGGGGGAGAAGAAGAAAGAGGAGGAAGGGAAACCTTAATGTTATTTTGTCTGGTTGAAATTACTTATAAAGAAAGGGATCAGTGTTGCTCAGATGTTAGAAATGTAAAAAACTAATTTAATTTATTTAGTAAGGAAGATATGACAAAAGTACATAACAAAATGCAATACAGACACAAGTTCTTCAAAAATACAAAATGTTCTGATCCAAGCAGATGGCTGACTTCATAGTGTTGATGTACAAAAACTATCAAAAATACTAACTCCTATGCAAAATTAAAACTAATAGCTGTTTTCCCTAAATTTATATTCTTAGTATTTGAATATTTAATATGTATTTCTCAAAATTTAATTTTATTATTTAAATTAAAGGTGGCACTTATATTTGGATATTTAATCATAGCAAGAACTTAATGCAATTGTTATCCCTTATTCCTAGAACACTTTTATTGATACTCAAATTAGAGACAGTTAACTGAGAAACTTTATACTAACTCATAAAAATATTTCCTATCTGTATGTTATGTGATTTACAAATATTTACCTATGAAAATACTTAGTCACTCATCTATAAAAAACTAAATTTTTTGACAAATAGAGGAAAAAGAGAAATGATACTGACATTTTCACGTGAAAATGCGAAGTTAGTATTTACAGTACTGAAATTGAATAATATATGCACAAGTTGGAACAAATGCTCTCTTGAACAAAGATCTGACAGATATTTTAAGTCCCTCTTCTATGTACTCAATAATAAACTTATGTTAAAGTAGATACTGCATATTTTCTGCCAAATTTGAAAAAAAAAATCTATCCTGAGAGTTTTTTCTGCCTATATGTATAGCACATATGATAGGTATTAAGAAATTAATACTGTGGAAAGTGGTTTTTCAAATGGCAAAGTATTCAGGCCCTTTATCTCCTGAGTACACAAGCAGACAAGATGATTTTGTTCCAAGTTACCTTAAATGAACGCTGTGGAAGCATCACATCCTGCTCACTGATTCTTCTGAGCAACTGTAAGTAACTGCTTGGTTTCTAATGGTCATTTCTGAAGCTTTACATGAATTTGCTGAACTCCGCAGCACATTAACTTCTTACAGGGATAATTACAGGTTTGAGCAGTACACAATTTGTACAGCGTTCACTGACCTCCAAGCTGACCTTGTTCAGGGTAAATTCATAGGTTGTCATAAACCCCATTAGATATGCCTAGTTTGAGGCAAAACCTTTCCAGACTGCAGCTGTTGTAGACAATATGACATCTGAAATCATTCCACTGAAGTATTTTTAAGTGCTACTATATTCTCCAGATATGATCAAACTAGCTCACATCACTATGCAAGACCTCCCCCTAACAAATTTGTGAGAAGGTCCTTAAAGAAAGCCCTATATAATTTTAAAAGTTAAACCAGAGATTAATGATGTAAAACAGCAACTGACTGTATGTTCACATGCATTTTAGACAAATGTACACATGGTCACAATTACCAGGCATCAAGCTAGATGCAACTACCTGAAATAGCTTCCATCAAGTAACTGAAGGCTAATAATTAATTCATTAGAGAGCAAAAATGGAGGACCATGACAACTGAATAGCTTACACTGAGCATAAAACTACTTCAAACCCATAGTTATAATGCTAAGTATTAGCATTATACTGGAATTTTGTCACAGATTTTTAGAATCAATGTGGAACTTGAAGGATTTTGCAGTTAAAATATATAACCAGTAGTAAAACAGAGAACTAGTTTTCAAAGACACTAACTTTGCCCAAATAATGGTTATTCTGTCACTAAGGGGGAATTACATGTGTGCGAATTTCAAACAGGAGACACAAAAAAATCAGCACTTTTTCTGTTCAGTAAAAACATAAGGCAAATAAAAGGAAAGTTTGTAAAGACTGTGTTGAACTATTTAGTCTGTGCTTTCGAAAGACAAATCACTGATCACCTCTCAGCATATTGGGGTTTGCTTGTAGGTGGCAGTGACAGGTAAGCAGCTACAAGCTAGCTGACGCCAGCTGATGCTGCTGTGCCAGCTGGTAGGCTTTGCCAGCTGCCTGTTGCTTCTCCAGACTATGAATATATTGTTGTAATGGATGCAGCATCTTCTGGCTTAGTGACAGAATTGTGACTGCTGGTGATAATTCATTTACTTCACTGATCCATAGCATTACTTGATTTTTGTTGTTTTTTCCCCTATTTTTAATTGTTAAATTAGCTGATTTGCTGTACAGAAGTGTCCCATCTCTTTCAAGTCTTTATAATCTAATTCAAAAGTGAAAATATATCAAAGCTTGACTATACTAATAAATTATTCTGTCATTCTCATTAGAAAGTGTTTCTCTAATGTAGCCAGGAACGTATTTCATTAAATACTGTACAGCAGACTTTACTGTTCTGTGAAACTGCAATGTCTATATTCTGTCCCGGACACTTACTGGTACTGAAATCTGAAGGGAATCAGTTTACTTTAGTGATTAAAAGCTTAATCCTTTCTCCTGGTGGTGTATGGATTCCTTCCATAATATTTAAGTTTATTGAGAAAAGCCATAAGCTAAAAAGCTGGCCTGCATATTACAGCATTTCCCTCCATTCCCACTCACTAACTTTTACAGCAAATCAACAGCCTGGACCCATGTTTGGATTGCTGAAACCCTGTTCAAACACAGGAAGAATATCCTGCACAAGAAGCCAAGTATGTCCCTCAAGCCATTCTGCATAAACACTCCAAGAGTTACCAATGAAATTTCAGAAGCTGCAAACTAGACATTATCTCTCATATTCCTACTCAAGGGAGAGCCAAATTTAACTATGTTTTCCTTAACATGGGTGAACCAGAGCTTTATATTTTTTAAAGTCTATTTACAATTTTATTAGCTTGAAAACACCACTACATTTAGCCTTTTTCTAAAGTACACACAAATGGCAATTTATCAGGTTCAAATAGGAGGTATGAATGAGCTAGTAAGAAACTTTTCTCAATATCTTTACTCCTATCAGAACTGCAAAAATTAGACAAACCACAAAATAGATATTCACCCTGTGGAAAATTTCTATATTCTACATGACTTCAGGGCTTTGTGATAAAAAAGGAATGCCAATTATTTTTTTCAGCACAGCATAAAATATAAAAAGAAAGTGAGAGTGCCTCGGACAAGCACGGACTAGCATTTTACTACTTCTGATTCAGTTTGAACACTGTTTATTATCTTATGCAGACAGCTGAAGACAGTCATTGTGTTTCAGCCCTGCAAAGCTTCCAACATTTTCTGCAATATCTGCCCTTCTTGCGGAAACAAAAAATTTATTAATTGTAATTCCTCATTTAGTTAGATGGACAAAAATCTTGCTGACAGGCATATCCCTTTCAGTTAAAAAAATGCAATTCACTCAAAATATTGACACCCTTCGTAAATGAGAACACATGTTAATAATTATGTGAAGTCTGTTAGAGATAATAGACAACAGAAAAGCCATTATCTTTAATGTCCTCCTGCTTCTTTGAAATTATAATCATTGCACTAAAGGGCCAAAAATGATTGATGGACTTTCATTTGGAGCATACACCTGACACAAATTACTTGACATTTACTCTTTTTTTTTTTTTGTAAGATGAAGACAGAGTGGCATCACAAATATCCAACTATCCTGTTTCTTGGAAAAGTATAGAAAATACTTGAGATTTTGAGGATAAATTACTAACAAGTGCTCAAATATATTGGAAAAACTAACATAACGTCAAAATATGTGTTAAATCTAGCAATGGAGCTACGAAATGCACATGGAAAAAAATGCAGCAAAGAAATCTTTTATAAATATCACTTTTTCAAGATTACAGATTATCATAGCTTCATACGTAATGAATAATGTCTTTTATTTATTTGACTCATATTCAGGTGTATGAATATGAAGGTCCCCCTAAGGGACTTTTGTTTTCCTCCAATAATTTGAACTTTTCCTGCTGCAGATTCAATCACTTCAGCACTATAAAGTAAGTATGAAATAAATCCCATTCCTTCGGTATATTATTTATATACAGAAGTCTCTGGGCAATCATCTCTTCTCCATTTCATGCATATCAACTCCAAACATTTACTTATCTTTGTATAAGATTATAACACATCTAGTCTTAATTCAAAAATATTTTTATGAGAGAAGAATTATATTTTTAATGTTTAAATATGTTGCATAGTATTTTGCTCTAATATTGGGATATAACTAATATATTAATCTAGCCAGTAAATTCTCCCAACCAGAAAAAAACTAATTCTATTCTCAAGACATAATATCAAATCCTCAGAATACTAATTTTTATCATTATCTACATAATACATAGAACATTAAATGAAGGATTGCAAACATGCAGAGAAA